GTCCCCCTAGACGTTTTAGTGCTCATGTTGACACCGGATTAATCTGATCCCGGAAAAACAGAAAACGTTGGAATTTTATTTTTTTAACTCTAGATTCACTAGCCCAGAATTCCCTTTGAACAGGCTCAGAAACCAATTTGTCCTACGCATTCGTTCAAATAAAGATTACGAGATGAACATGACACGAAGTCTGTGGAACTTATGAATCTCTACTTGTCGGGATGGTATGATTTGTGACGCGTACCATACAACCGAGAAAACGACAAAGTTACAAACAAACGCTCCATTGAAAAGGGAGAGGTATCTTCCGTATACCATTCGTTCATTTTCCCGTTAACCTTGTTTAAATGTATGGCTTCATGGCCAGTATTCAAGGATTCTGTTGCCAGTCAAATACCAAGATAATTGTCCAATGAGCAAGACCACTTTATGACCATAAACTTTTCTGGTTTGGATTTCCACGGGCCAAGCCAGGATCCGGTCGATTTAGAGCTGTATTCCTGCTGCTCCTGAAATCTTACAAAAGTCCTTTATATGATTCACAGCCAGTTCCAGCTCTAGCTTTGACAAACAGATCAAAGCGACGTCATCTGCATAGGCTAGTATTTTGGTCGGCTCGGAACTTAGATGAACACCACAAATATTGACATCAGTCATGATTGATTTGCATACAGGCTCTAAATGTAAAGCAAATAACAAAGGCGACATCGCGCATCCCTGCCGAACTGACGATTTTACGTCTATTGTGGCAGTTTGTTGTCCGTTCACTAGCAGCCGAGTTGTAATGTCTTTGTAGCAAAATTTTATGTACTTTGTTAACGTTGTTCCTAGGCTTCATCGTTCAAGAAGAGCAAAAAGAAAGGCGTGTGACACTCTGTCAAACGCTTTGCTAAGGTTTACTTGCAGCACTCCAATTGGGTACTGTTCCGCCTCCGCTGTCTCACATATGATTCTCATTGTGTGCAGGTTTGTAATGATGGATCTGCCTTTAAATCCGTAGGGCTGGTGCTCTCCTACGATGCTGCTTATTCCCACCTTCAGACGTTTAATAGAAGTTTCACCAGACTGATCGGTGTCAGGTTGTCTACACTCGTGACGCTAGAGGCTGTGTTTTTCTTCGGGATAAGCACAGTTAATGCTTGTCGCATCGACGGGGGCAGCAAGTTGCGTTTAAAAATGTCTTTATATAGGAACCGAAGCAGCGGGATTAGCAGATCTGCGAACTTTTCATAAAACAGTGATCCTAAGCTGTCAATTCCCGGTGCGCAAAAACCATTCAGTCACGCGCTCGCTCGGCAATGCGCGTGGCAATGTGAGTGTTTTAGCGTAAGTTATTAATATAATCATAATGACACCCAAGTATTTATAAGAAGTAACTTCGGATAGTAAAGTATTATTAATTAAATAATCGAAAGAAAGATTGCCTAATTTCCGAGTTATATGCATTGAAACACATTTCTTTACATTTAGTGACACCCGCCACGCAGGTCTTTAGTAGAGTCTGGTCACTTATTCCATTGACTTATAAAACCGGATAATCTGCGAACAGTCCAACACGTACAGGAATATTAGCGGTTAAATCGTTTATAAAAATTGAGAACAGTAACGCCCCAAGGACCGACCCTTGTGGAACACCCGATAAAACAGGGACTAATATTGATTCACTCGAGTTGATCTTTGCATACTGTTTTCTCTCTTGTAAGTAGTTCTCAAGCCGGCGGAAGATACTTTTGTTCTGAACAACTGATTTAAGTTTGCGGACAAGTTTACTATGTAATCCTCCATTAAAAGGTTTAGAGAGGTCTAGGAATATGACGTCAATTTGTTTGGATAGATTCAGGATATTTGCAATGTCATAGACTCCTTAGGTAACTGTGTCGTGATGGGAAGTCCATGACAGAAACCGTGTTGATATGAAAAGAAAAAAAGGGCCGCATCTCCGCGTGTTGAATGATGTTGATTGGGGCGAAGCTCTGGTGGTGCTGGTGATACTGATTTTATTGTTCATAGGCAGTGCTGATGGTGCTGATTTGTTTTTTTTTTCTTGCTCATAGGTAGTGCTGAGTTCCGAGTTGCGTTTCGACTTCATTATTACTGCTTTATAGTCGGTGAAACGCAGAGTCAGTGGTTCTTCTGGCGGATCAGCTTGGATCCGCTAGAAGCCGTGGGAACGCATCTCCACCACTTAAGCCAACGGTCCATGTCAGAAAGAGAATGTGTCGTATGGAACGTGGTTATATACGCATTTGAGCATTTGACCGCAGCGCCCTCTCGTCTATAAATGTTGAGCCAACGCATGCAAAGTTTAACGCGATTATATACGCATTTGACCGCAGCGCCCTCTCCTGTATAGACGTTGAGCGGCTACATGCAACGTTTCATCCACGACAGAAACCCCAGCTCTTGAGTTACTACCACATCTCAGAGCCCCCTACTCGTCCCGCAGTCGTGGCCGTAAGGCGATGGACTAGAAATCCATTGGGGTCTCCCCGCAAAAGTTTGAATCCTGTCGACTGCGCAAACATTTTTTCTTTTTATGTGAGCATGGACGTCGGCCGGATGGACGGACGGACGGAGATGCGGCCTATGGAGCTTCGCCCCTAAAAAAACGTAGCTTTCTAAATAATTCGCAAGGTGTTAAAAAACAATATGCTTTAGAAGTTTCGAACAGTAAGGAAGTAATGAAATAAGACAATTGGCGACGTGACCGATCGAAAGCGTCGCGGTGGTCGCCCTCCACGATTGGCCGAATGCTGACTTCGACGTCAGCAAAGGATTCCTCATCGACGGATATAAGCGTAATTTAAGAACTTCAATTTTGACGGTGTTGGCAGTATTGGTTTAAAAGCGCAAGGATTTCTAGCTTCCACCATGCTAATTACACACACCGTCGAACTTGTTGTTCACAAGGTAATGAGGTCAAGAGAGGTAACCATAGAAGGGCGCCACCCAAACATCTCGCCGCTAATAGTTTACCGGGAGTGGCAGGGAGCCAGTTCTGTGAACGGGAATTGCTTTTGCATATTTCCACTCAGTAGGAATGACAGATTAATTTAAAGACCCTCGAAAATTAAGGTAAAGATATTTGGAACAGCAGTCACCGTAGTGAATCGAAAATTAATTTGGAATACCGTCAGCAGCAATGGCGTCTGTTTCATGACTACAATCAGTAAGGTCAACCCCGTCCCCGGAAGCCAGTTCCAAATAGTTCAGTACTCTGCCAAAAAGATACAACTTCCTGTAATGCCGAATTCGAGCGCAGCTCTTGAGGAGGAGGGGAGGGGTCTTACCCGCAAAACACTCAAATCCAATCTCTGCGATCTACGAAATCAGCTCAGCGAATGATGAGGTGGAACATTTGTTTAGTCCTCAAAATTAAGTCTGCGCTGTTGGTTTATGCAATGCAAGCATGACGCAATTTGCCTTGCGTAATGACACAGCGCAGACTTCATTTTTAGCTCTAAACGAATGTTCTGCCTCGTCATTCGCTGAGGTCATTTCGTAGATCGCAGAGATTGGCTCTTTGAGTGTTTTGCGGGTAAGTAGACGCGCAGGCATTTCTTAGAGTGTGCGGTATCGATGCTTCGAACCCCTACGTCCCATCATATCTTTAGTTCGAAGTACCGGAGGCGGCCGCACCCAAAACAAATTATAAATTGTAAATGTTTCAGCACGTTGATCCGACTAACTTATTAAAATATACACTATTTAGTAATATTTCGAGGTTCTTTAACAATTCAATCTGAAAAAAAAGGTTTGTTTATTTTTTACTATGGGCAACATTTTATTGGTCTCTATCTCCTTCGTGATGATATATCAAAATTTCTATACGAGGTAGGAACCTGTCAAGCTGCGGTTTGCAGCATTTTGCCTAATTTCCCCCCCCCCCCCCCCCCAAAAAAAAAAAAAAAAAAGAAAAATATGGAGCCAATACTAGTTGAATTTGGTGTGAGAAGTTGACTATGCATAGAACGTTTGGTTTGCTTTCTTGCGCCGCCGTAAAAATCTCGGTTCATTTTCATGCAGCGCTCTCGTCCGTCTCGTCGTTACTTGGTCCTTGTCTCGGCGCGCTGTTTTAAACCAAGATGCTGAAGTTCAATTGTTAGCAAAAAAAAAAAATCAAAATTATATAGGAGAAAAACAATTAACACGAAGGAAAAGATAAACGCGGCGGGTCTTTGTAAATTTACGACTGATGTAAGTAGAGATGACCAAAAGCGTCGCTTCGATTAGGCAAGCGCTCAGTATGAGGTATTTAGTAGGATTAATTATATTACATCGAGGGAAATAAGAATAATGTCAGACAGTCAACTTCGACGATGTTAATTTAAGACTGCGATGACTGCGAGCTTCCACCTTGCTTTTAAAACGCACCAATGAATGTATCGCTTTTCACACGGGACAGACAGCCACGATCACAATTAGCGACGCCACGGAGAGCCAAATGCGCGTAAGGGCTAATAGGCTACCACGCTCGCTAAATAGTAAAAAAAAAAAAAAAAAAAAAAAGGAAATCGCTTCGTGCTTTTACGGTTTTCGAGGACAGCGCGAAATGCCCGCAGCGTTCCGAAACGCGTGTCGTCGCCGTCGGCCCGTGGCGATACCTGGGCGGCCGTCGCTCGGGGCGGCGCGGCGGCACGCACGCCGCACGCGACTGTCGACCAGAGCCCAAGCGTGCTGACGGCCCCCCCTTGCCCCCCGTCCCCTCCGGCGGGACGCACAAAGGGCCCCCTCAACCCCCCCCCCCGGATGGAACATCTGGAGTACACCTCGGCGTTTCTTCTTCTCTTTCTTTCTTTTCTTCTTTTTCCGTAGAGACAGAAAAGGGAAACGAAAACTGGCAACAAAACGCCGGACGCCAGCAGGAGCCGGGGCACGTGCAGCCGGCGCGTGCCCCCTCCGCGCACGCGCCCCACTCACCAGATGGCGAGCACCCGCTCTTTTTTGTACGCGCGTGCTTCGATGCCGGAGGGGGTCTTTTTAGTGTTCGTCGGGGAGCCCGACCACCGTCCGCGTCTGTCTCCCGTGCTGTGGCCGCCGCCCGAAACGATGCCCGAGAAGCCATCGGAATGCCCCCGGAGTCCGAGCCTCCCGTAGCCGCGGTCCCGTCCGCAGCGTATCGTGCGATCCTGACACCGGTGAGTGGCCTCGTTTCTCGTCGCCGGTGCCGGGCCCAGAGAGGTTGTCCGGGCCTGTCGCGGCGAGGTTTCGAATCGCGTCGAAAGTTGTATACTCTGTGTACAACGCTCTAAAATTTATCCAGATGTTAAAGCGCAGAAAGACTCTTAAGTGAGGGACGGCTTCCTCCTCTTCTACTCCTATTTAATATTTATTGCAAAAGTAGAAGGAGAGTAAGACGTCCATCGAGTGAGTGACATGCAACGTAGTTAATAAAAAAATGAAGTGAAGCGCAATATAGATGAAGAAAAAAATTATCATAAATAAACGGTTGCTAGTCCACCTATGTGTCTTCTGTCTCTCTCTAGATGTAACCTTCCATTGCGTTCAGCTCGCACCGTATATAGCAATGAACCAAGTAGCTTAGCTTCGAGACATTACAGAGCTATCATTATTTCTATGCTCGTTTTGAAGGTAGCGTGGCGCGTCTTGATGATTTTTGAAAAGGGCAGTAGCGTGAATTATCTCACATTATGACAGATGCACTGCATATACAGTCCCACGATAAAATTCACGCTTTCAAGCACCGTAAATCATTGTCGTGGAAACGCGCAAGACACGTGCCACGAGCGCGTGCTTCTCTGCTATTCGCTTCCAAGGGCCGCTGATTAAAGCCCCTTCGTGTTTCAAAAGTAGCGCAAGGTGCGTTGATGCACGAGGCACGTGGAACGTGCAGCCCTTGGGAAGATAATGGCGGCAGAGCCCAGCTTTGACACTGATTTCAGACCCCATGTTCTTCCCAGAAGTGGCGCGCGGCGCTCATTCACACTGGAGACGGATCCGCGTTCGCGAAGCGGTTGCGAACGCGGTTCTTTAAAGATCCAGTACAATTGCACGCGCACTCGATGACATGAAGTGCGCGTGCAATTGCACTGGATCTTTATACAACCACGTTCGCAACCGCTTTGCGAACGCGGATCCGCTTCCAGTGTGAATGAGCGGTAAGGACGCCACTTCTCTCAGGATAAAGGGGCTTTACCGCTGATTTCAATGGTGCGCCGCCCCCGCCGCGCGAACTTCAATGCTGCGCCGGGACTCGTGCACTGGCGCATTTCACGCTACTTGCGAAACAAGCGAAAACACATCGAGGGGCTTTAGCTACAAACGTCGCATAGAGCCTCATCGCGGCACTTTACTGCGAGGAGATGTGCACTCAGGTGATTTTGAAGCGCGGGTTCTCGTGAGTACCCCAAGTTTCTAGAGTGACTCTGCTGCCTGTGCCCCTCACAGCTTTACACTAAGCCACACCCCAAGTCACCATAATGTACCGAAAGTTGGAAACACGAGCAACTTATGCAAGGATGCATTGCATTTACAGGAACTCTTGCGCAGCAGGCGCAACTGCCAAGACTTTGAGCTCGGGCTCAAAATTGCTGCCTAGCACGCGGATGTTATGCACTTTGGAAGGCGAGCAAAGCACCTGCCACACGTACCGGCGCTAAAAAAACATGGGGGGGAATTCCTTTTTTTTTTTTTAATTAAAGCTTCTTGATAAAGGCGTTTTTCACAAGTACCGCCGACCATTGTTGCGGAAACGCACAAGACACGTGCCACCAGCGGGTGCTCCGCTGCCATTCGCTTCCAAGGGCCGCTCATTTCAGTGCTGCGCCGCCATTTGGTTACAGGGGCCTCTCGAAACACGGGCCTCGTTCACTGGCGCATTTGACGCTACTTTCTTTCTTTTCTTTCTTTATTAATACTGTTAATCTCTTTCGAGATTGTTACAGGAGTTTATGAAACATATCACACAGGTTGCACCTGCTGCAATAACTTGGAACGAAAATCTAAAAGTGAGTAGCATTTACAACATCAGGTGGCCAACTATTCTAATCAATATTTGTTCGAGGAGAAAATGAGTACTTAAATGCGTCATTTTTATAACTATATTATTTTATTGTTCTGCTGTGAAAATGCCTACTACACCTGGAGCAAGAAAATGTAATACAAACATCTTTGTCTATTCCAAGCTCGTCGTTAACGATAAAGTAAAGAATTTTTAGTCGATCCATTCTCCTTTTCTCCTATAGGGTTTCCAGACCCGCCTCAACACAAAGTCTTGTGGGGGACACATTAGAGGAATACATATTGTACACAAAGCGCACCGCTAATCTCTGAATTCTCTCGAATTCCGAAATACAACATAATGTGTGGGGATCCCAGATCCCCACACATTCTTTCTTGAGAGCATGCATATTCCACCATTGGCCTAACCAGAGTTTTATATAATTATAACTTTGTCTCACGGGAGCCATGCTTCTTATATCTGCAAAGAAAACCCAACTTTTCACTGCTCCTAGATATGTTACTAACATGCCTTTTCCACCTTACGTCGGATGTTATAGTCAAACCCAGATACTTATATGTGCAAACTCTAAGAAGGCTACAGTTACCAATAGAATAGTAAAAAAGTAAAGGACTTTTCTTGCGAGTAATAGACATACAAACAGTCCTTGATAAATTCAGTGGCATTTGACAGTCAGTACACGAGACAATCTTTCAAGCGAGGAGTTTAATATTTCACAGTCTCCGAGACTTGATTTTCTTAAAAACAAAACAATCATCTGCAAACAATCTTATATTGACTTTGATTTTACAAACCATATCATTAACGAACATCAAGAACAATAGAGGCTTGATAACTGATCCCCGTGGTACAGCAGACGTCACGTATGTAGTAGCGGAACACGCGCTGTCAAATTCTACATTTTGCTGTCTCATTGTCAAATAACACTCTAGCCACTTCAAAATATTAGTTTTATTTAAGACAACTGCCAATTTTGTTAGTAGCTTCTCATGTGGAACGCGGTCGAACGCTTTTGAAAAGTACAACTATACAACATCAGTTTGTCCTCGAGTATTAATTACCGACGCAAACTCATGCAGTGTTTCGGTCAGTTGGGTGATAGAGTCACATTTTGACGGATACCATGTTGAGCCTTGGTAAAAAAAAAAAAAATTTATTTTGCTCAAGATATGCCGATATCTGTTTAAATACACCATGTTCATAAAATTTACTGCTAATACTGGGCAAGGAAATAGGTCGATAATTGGAATCAACCCTTGAGTCACCGAATTTTAAAATGGAAATCATTTTCGCTATTTTCCATTTCGAAGGTACAGTGCAAGTTTCTAGCGACTTTCTGAAATTACAGTCGAGTACTTAGCGCTCCATTCCCCATACCTTTTAAAAAAACATGGGGAAATCCGTCCGGCCCAACTGCCTTTTTGCGTTAATATTCGATATATAATTTAGAACACTTTCCTTCGAAATTGTTATATCTGTCAAACAGTTTCTAGCGCGTTCGCTGTCTTCTCGAATTGCATCAAATACCGGACTGCGACCGTTGTCTGAACTGAAAACGGACGTAAAATATTTATTGAAAGCACCAGCAGTATTATTAGGGGTCATACACAATTTCATTATCAATATTCAGTTCGTCTACTTTTGGTTTAGGAGGCGATATAAAGCGCCAGAACTTCTCAGACGTGGACCTGAGAAAGAAGGGAATTGTTACCTTAAAGATCGATGTTTTTCTTCTTTAATTGTATCCTTAAGCTCGTGGTGTAATTGGTCAACGAGGTCTGCGTCTTTCGATCGTTTGAGAAGTCTAAAAAGTCTACGGCACATTGGAATAATTTTCTTATTTATCCATGGTTTGTTTTTACTAGTAAACTTCACCTTTTTGGCACAAATTTTGAAATGCAGTCAAGAACAATATTTTCAAAAAGCTGTCACAAAAACTGAGGACAGTTTCATGTGTACTGGAAGCGCTGAAAAAGTCACTAAAAGAGAACGCAAGAGCGTCAATAATAGCGATGTCATCGGCCTTGGAGAAGTGGAGATATTGTTTGCGAATTCGTGCGTCACAAGGCGTACTATTTGTGAAAAAAAGTAAGCTATACCATTTGATGATCTGAAATGCCCTCAATCACCTCAATGCTTTGTACTCTTTCACGTAAATTCTGGGCAAGGAAAATTTATTCGAGTATCGAGTCTTTTTCTTCGGATAATCTTGTGGGATCGCGTACAACTTAATCCTGATCATAAAAGAAGGCCAGCTCTAGTAAAGCCGGCGAAATATGACACGCTGACCATGTGCGTTCCCAATCTTTAGTAGGCAGGTTAAAATCTCCAGCAGAAATAATTCTAGACTTTGCATGTACATTTTCGGAGAGATAGTCGATAGGATGGTCGCTTGGGCGAGCTGGTCAACCAGACTTGACCGTGACAGCGCAGGGAAAACCAATATCACACCAGACACTCAGGAAGACAAGCACACGCGCTGTCTTCCTGAGTGTCTGGTGTGAGATTGGTTTTCCCTGCGCTGTCACCGTCAAGTAAGGAGAGATAGTCATTTATTTTTCCAAAATTATTGCCGCTGGTATACTTCGTTTCACTTTCTCTGCGAGCGAAGCCAAAGCTAGAAGCGCGAGTCCAGCGCTTTTTGCGTTTCTCCCCAGCTCGCGCGCTCGAGCAAAGCCTGAACGCACGGAGCTTTCGCGCTCGCGCTTCCAGCTTTGCTTTCGCTCGCACATAAGGTGAAACGAAGTATAGGCGGTCTGTAAAACGCACCGATGATAAGAGACATGAAAAAAATGCTGACACGAGTCCACAAAATCTCAACACCACTGATATCTACCATTTGGTTCTAGTGCAAGATTTCTTTTAAGATTATGGCCCCGCCCCCACCTCGGGTATCTCTTTCCTTTCGTATTATTTTATAATCTGGGGGAATAATTTCCAAGTCAGTTACTTCAGTATGTAGCCACGTTTCCTTGACGACTGTGATATGGGTCATACGGCAGCAAAACATGTTCAAAATTCATAACATTATTCATTTCACTAGCGTTCATGTCCATTGAATTCGTGGGCTCCCACCTGGATTAGCGTGTTATAAATTAGACTGACCTTTTCGCCTTTCTTTCGATTTTCCTCAGAACTGTCCCACAACTGTTTGCGAATGTTTCGAACACGTCCTGAGAAATCTTCGAAAACAGAAACTGCCGATCCCTTCAACTTACACTCTAAGAAAAAGGGGGTGTACAGGGTTACACCCCTTGCCCCATATGTAACCCCCCAAAACTACATTTGGACGTTCAGTCTACTGACGTCGAGCTAGCGATACCAACTTTTACGAGTGGCTTGTTAGTTGTTGGATATAACGTATTAAATAGCTAATGTGCGTACCAAAAACTAGGAAAAAAACACAAACAGGTTTGGCAGCAGGGCCAAAGAAAACCTCGATTGTCTTACCTTTAATGCGTAAATTTGCTATTTTAACAAGTTGTATCGGTCGACGATCAAGCCACCCTTGAAAGTTGGTATCGTCGGTTCCACGTCTGTGGACCGGACGTGGAACTGTTGTTTTGGGGTGTCACATATGGGACAAGGGGTGTACCCCTATACGCACCCTATTTCTTAGAGTGTAGGGCAGTTTTTAAGAACTGAGAACTTCTCAGAAAAATTTAGGAACTTGATCACTGCTGGCCTTGTTTTGCCTTCTGATAGCGTCGAAGTCTATGTATTGTTTCTATGGTTTTAGTATCTGGTAAGCCGAGTGTTTCACGGAAAATGTTGTTTACAACTGTATCCTGAAGTAATTCCGCTGTCTCACTAACCCTATCAGACGAGATAATTTCGGCGGCTGCTATTTTCTAGGTCATCAATCTTATCCAAGAGGTAACCTATTGTGTTTTCAATAGTAGAAACTCCGTTTCCACAATCAGATAATTGTTTTGTTGTCGCCTCTAGGGCTATTAGTTGAGTCTCAAATTTTTCCATGTTTCTGGTGAATTCGTGTGAATTTTTCTTCTGCCCGCTTCTGATATTTTTTTATGGTTCTTAAGTCGTTAATCATTTGCGCCTGGTTTCCTAAAACTAGATTTAACAATTCTTCAACTGTGGGACCTGGGATGGTTTCAATGTAACCTCTCATTTGCAGGAGTTGAGCAATGATATAAGCAATCCACGGGAAAAAAGCACTGGGGCATGGCAACACCATCAAAAAAAGGGCATCGCTTTTGTACGAGGAGTCAGAACAACCAACCTGCACGGAGAACAAAAGCGGGTTTAGCCACAAGTTCGTTTTGATGCTGCCGTGCCCACTGCCGCGACGTTGTTCAACCGCGGCCTTTATATCCGCTTCTGCAAGCGTCGATGACGTCGGTGTACTTGATGCGACGGTCACCAGGGGTATATCTGCAGCGGCGTTGGACGATGACGTTGTGATGATCGGAACGACCACCGATTAAGCAGAATCCGTTCTGCTGATGACGAAGCTTGGCAGCAACAGCGCACACTGCACGATGAATAAAAGCGGGTTTAGCCGCATGTTCGTGTCGATGCTGCCGTGTCCTGATATGTTTGCTAGACAAACGCAAGCATATCGAGGGGCTCTTTCTGGAATGGCTTCTTGCCGGGCACAAAGGACGACGACAAAAGAAAGGAACACACAATACACAGAAGCGCTGACTCAGAACTGATATATAATGCACAAAGAAAGGAGATGAAAGCATCAGAAAGGATAGGACTACAAAAGCGCGACACAGACACAGCTTGCAAGGCAGGGTACACACTGCATAAAAGGCAGGGCACACAAACATAATTTCGAACTACAAATTAATTCTATTATACAAGGACCTATCCAAATATAAGGTTTCCTCATTCGACAGATCTGTCAAATGAGGAAACGTTACGAAAAACTGTGGTGCTTTTCTGTTGAAAGGCTGTTGAAAAAAGTCATCAGATGATATAAAATGTTAGTGGCGTTTCATCTGACTTTCTCTAGCTTTTCTGTTCACTTTCTTTTGAATATTAGCCCAATTTTTAATAAAAAAAGTCAAGAGACTTTCTGTCACCTCCAAGATGCTTTTTCTGCACTTTTTCAATTGAAAAGCTAGAGCCTTTCAAAAAGGAAACAAATTGTTTACAGCTTCTTTATTAATTCAATAAAGTTTTGGAACTTTACTACGGCTTTCCACTCAGCTCCAAATTGACTGAAAAAAAAACCTGTAAAAAAACACGATTCTTTTTTTTTTAGGAAATGGTGGTCTTGTGGTATTTGAAAGCACTACTACATCCCACAACTACACATTAGAAACGAAGACAAAGAAGCACTGAACACCTGAATCACAGTCCCATTGACTGCTCCAGAGCCTTATATTGCCGCGCGCAAGGCTGAGAAAGCAACGCTCGGTTACGGTCCTCCAGAAAGTCCCAGTTTCGCTAGCGCTCTGTAGTGCCGCCGAACCGCCGCCCGCTTTTCGCCGCCCGCTTTTCGCCGCCCACTTTTCTGCTACCTCGACGCTCTTTCGTTATTTATTTTTGGTTGGCACAAGTTCGCCCATTAAATCTTTTATTTTCAGTTCACTGTTCGGCTTTTCGTCACCTTCATTCGTGACAATATAACTTACATATTGAAGGTGGCCGGTGACCACTTCAGCCCTTATTAAGGTTCCAACTATCCTATTTTTTTCTCTAGAGTCTGTCAAAGAGAAAATAGCATTTCGAACTTCGCGGACGATATCTCTTACCGAAAAATCATTGGTGCAACTAACATTAATTCGGCGCAGTCGCTAAAACAACATCCAGAAAAACGGCTCCTAGAAGAAATGTTATGACTTATCTGCACAGCACCACTTAGAACGAAGCGAGTCAAGGCAGTAACTCCACTTTAAAATAGTTATTTTGCTTTCCTTTACTATCCTCTGTTTCATACTTAGTGTGCAACGCTGTCAGAGCTACTGGCGCGAGCATGGGACTTGATCTCGTTGATCATTTCCACGCGTTCTCGCGCAAACAATACCATAGATGAAGCCACGCGCTCGCGCCAGTAGCTTTGACAGCGTTGCACGCTAAGTGTGAAACAGAGTATAGGTGACTAGTCTAATATGGTCATTAAAGTAACTATAGTCAAAAAGTCAGAACAGCAGGGCGTGCCTTTCAAACGCGTGGCCTCCAGCACCGGCCCCGTGCCTTCCGTCGCGCTTTGACTGCACGCGCTCGCTCGAGGTGCACGAACGCGGAAGCGTTGTCAAGGGTAGTAGGCTCGCACTGGAGGCGGGACAACTGAAGCTCGTGAACTAGCGCCTGCCTCCCTCTGATATCTATGCCTATTTTCTGGAACGCGTTTTCCCAGCTCCGCCTATGCACAGGAATGTGGCCACGGTCGGCCCTCTTTTTGCTAGAGTTATCTATTCTCTAGCCATCATAGGGGTAATAAAGCGGACAGCGGTGAGGCGGCAGGCTGCCATAAAAATAGCCATGGGTCTAGTGCAATGTACCGTGGATGATATTTCGCGCTTGACTGAACTCGCTCGACGAATCAGATTCTTGCACTCAGTGGATGCGACGGGGGAAGGTCGACTATGCCGTCATGTTGTGCGGCGCGCTGTTTAAATTGCCCCGACTGCGAAAAGACGAGAACTTACCATTGGTAAGAATTCAGTGTTTTGTGGCTCTCCTGACGCGCAGGGATACGTACGGTGAAAAATATTATTTGTTCCCGAGGTTTCCACGAAGTCGCCCACGACCCCTTCAGCTGTGGGTGGGAAACGTGTACTCTATCTAACGGGCGGTAGATTCCGCCACCACTACTATGGTGTGGCTAGAGATAATATAACTCTACCAAAAGATAACCGACCGTGGCCGCATTTGTGGAGCGGGCAAACGCGATCCAGAAAAGTCATACAAATCAGTGCTGACTCCTTTGAACTAAAGTTATGGCAGCATCACGCATGCCTGAAACGCTTAGTAAGATCCTTCTTCTTAGCGCCTTCGCTCAAGAATGTCGTCGTGCAGTCGGGGAGAGGGGGTTTCGTGCCACTTTTGCGTTTTTAGGGGCTGTACAAAGGATTAACGTGCAGCGACAGCGCCCGTAATTGAAGAACGGAGTGGTTGTGTCGTCGCTGAAGCAAGAACCGCAGCAGTGAGGAGTCACGTGCCCTTTTTGTGGACGCAGGTGACGCTGCGTCCTGCGGCCATGGCGTAGAGGGCGCAGCATGCCTACCCCTTCCCAGGGCAGCGACCAGCAAGACTTGGCCATTGCCGGATTCCGCGCATGCGCGCAGGAAGCCATACGGTTCCTCATAGAAGAAGAACACTTGCCGGGTAAGGGACGATTTCTGCACATTTTTGTAGCTGTCTTTTTAAAATGCTATTTTTAGCCAAGCCAATCCGGCTAACATGGACATGTTTGCCGGCCCGGCTCGCGAGGCTCAGCAACGGAGCGCGAGAAACGGCGCAGCACATTGTGAAAAGGACTCCGTTGAACTCGGCCGACTTTTCGGTGTCCTAGCTGTACCTCCTGCCTTTGCCCCTGCCAACGGCCATTGGGGAACAAGAATAAACTCCCTCACAATACTAAAAAGGAGATGATTAAACCCGATATAATAGATAACGGGGAATTATCTAAATAAATATAATTGCTTTAATTAATAAGTATGTACTCGAATGACCTGAAGTAAATAAAAATGTTAGCCAAACTACCTTTAAATGTGAGTTTCTATATTTCGGTTATAAATTGTAAATCGTTTTGTGAAAACCGAACTCCCAAGAAAATATATTTCAAAGTGCCGGCATATACCATGTGCACATATGTCAAAAGATGCGTCGTCTCCCATCGCCGAATCATTGCCAAGGAACGTTTCTCAGCAAAGGGCTTTATGGATGCAGCTGAGCTCAACGACACGCGGACCTAGATATGCAATTTGACTTTTTTTAGCTGTAGTTCATTCCTTTTAGACCTTGATTGGGTAGCACCATCATTCATATCTGGTAACTAAATTTACCATGCGCAGTGCTCTCCGTGGCATTTTTTTTAAACGAATATCTGAGTAAAAAGAAATGACACTGAACGTTGTGTTGCTAAGTGCTTGAGTAGTGTACAGCAAACTAGAGTCACTGAATATTCCCAGGGTACCGAATTCCATTCAGTCCGCTTACTGGAAGTAAATTGGCGCAGACTTCAGTTCTGATTGGCGCAAGTTAACACTCAGCCAACCTAAAATTAAGCACAAAAAAAAAAAAAAAAAAAAAAAAAAACGCAGATCGAACGTTTTCGCGTTACCTTGGCTACGGCGGGTATGCACGGCGTGGGGAGTTTCGGAGAGTTTGACACTGGGACGTCGGCGCATATGATCTGAATGAAAAGATTTTAATCTGTAGATTGTTGATCTTAAATCGAACTGACCTGAAAGTGTGAAGAGCTGAAGAACTCCTTCAGTTTACTGTCCAGTATGGAGATGAGGTCGTCTTCTTCAATCTTTGCTTCGCGGCATTCAAATATTGTTGTTTGTAGAAGATTTCATCGGCTGACTGTGAAATATTGTTGAGCAAGTTGCAATGAATACTTTCGTATTTGCGACCTTCCATGGGAATAAACGGTGATCTCGCTATGCTTAGTAAAGAAAGATAATAAACTGAGCAAACCGACTGTGATGACGATGACAGTGGTGATGACCAATTCACTTGGCCGGAACCAAGAAACGCTCTCTTGTTGTTAAGGCGAAAGCCTTAACAGTAACAGCGTATAGGGTCATAAAAATATGATTGAGGGGCACGCGCCGCTCAATTGTATGCTCAGGGACGACGCTGTCCTTGGCGTCGTCCTTAAAATCGTCCTAGAAACGTCCTAGACCTCTAGGACGACCTTACTTGTCCCTTTACGCGAAAAAACGGCGTCCTTGTGCCCGAAATATTGCCATAAAAATGCATTATCAAGCACGCGCCGCTCGGGCTCATGCTCACGTTCAAGTACGGGAGCGTCATGTCACCGCCGGAGGGCCGTGCGCAAAAGGTGCGCTTCGGACTTCATCTGTGCTCGTTGTGTGCTTCGTGTAAGAAACTGTGAGGCAACGGCCTTTTACCTCTACGACCTCGACATCGGCGGCAGCGTCTACATCTACGGCGGCTTCCTCAGGCAAACGTGGCCGCCCACGCAAATACGCCACAGCCTCCTTAACTGTCCTCCTCTTGGAGTCGTTCTCGACGTCATCCTAGACGTCGTCCTAGAAGCCGTACTTGGCGTCGATCTGTAGGACGTCGTCCTTGATTTCATCCTATAGAAACATTACTCGAAAAATTTCTCTCGTGGGGCTATTATGGTATCGCCTTCTTACACGTAAGCACTCTTGAATGTCATCCTGTAATTTTTTAATGCAATTGCACGATGTATTAATTTCCGTTTTATATTTGTTTGGCGAATAATCTAAGCTGGGAAATAACACGTCAGAATTCTAAAGAACACTTAGTGCAGATACTATGTTTATAACTTTAGCCAAGCGTCTTTGCAATTGATCAAACTGTTAACATGACCACTTTCTCCCTTCTTTGTGGTTTAAAGTTATTTAGAACCAATGCAGTTTTCGATTATCTACTTTTTTACAACAAAATGTGGCACAAAGTGAGGATTAGGAGGTGTTTTGAAAGAGCTTATGTTGTTTGATATGTTCCTTCCGTGCGTGTTCAGTTCAATGGAATGCCATGAATTTGCTGAGACACAGCTAGTGCGCTTACGCGAAAACGCGTGATTTTACATTAAGTCATCCTCACCATCACCAGGGACGCGAAAAAATCTACTTGCCATATGCACCATCAACTGTCTCACTAAGACTGTGCCGTGGACACAAAGGCGGCCCTGTGCGAGCATTCGGAGCTTTGCAGGGGAGAGGAGGTTTCTCTTCTCCTCTCCAGAATTCCTGGTGCTCCCCCCCCCCCCCCCCCCCCCCCCCGCTCTGCCTTTGCGTCTACTGCACAGTTTTAGTGAGACAGAATATAGATACGCCACTGGCTCGCGAAATACTCTCAAAACCCACCTTCTCCGAAATTCGCGAAGTAAAGAGCCAGTGAAAATAAGGTTGCTTTGAGTACATAATTGTTATGTGTCTGCTTCCTCACTATGTGAGTGCTCTGGGACAATTTCAGAGCGGTCGTTGAGACACGGACAACCAGCGTCCATAAAGACTTGTCCAGGCTTAGCGAGGAACAGGGGACCGATATGCTCCCCACTCCTGCACAGTAGCCGTCCTGCACGCTCTTTGTCGCAGCCGATCTCAGCGTCTGCAGAATTATCATTCTTAATCACTATAAAATTTGCGAGGGAAATATTGGTTGACCCGAGGAAGACAGCCATTTATTTCGCACAGCAGTAAGGACGACCTTGGCACTTCGTTGATTTTCATGCGCCAGCGAGGGGCCACGGAACTCTCACTGTACTCGCAGCCTTGCCCGACGCTGCAGTGGGGCATGAACATCGGCGAAACGCGAAAGAATCGCCCTTCGTACTGCACAAAATTAATGGCTAAGCCTTCCTAATGTCGACAAATATCTCTCTATCATGTTTTAGAGTGATTTGGATTGAAGTTTTGAAAACACTGAGATCCGCTGCATCGAAGACCGTGCAGGACGGCACGGTCTTCAATGCGGCTTGATAGGCCTAGCGAGGGTTAGGGGACCGCAACTCCATGGAATAGCGGTCCCCTTGCCCTCGCTAAGCCTATCAAGCCGCATGACTTGTTTTAATGCGTTGGCATTAGAACGCTCGTTTTGACCAAACCCCAGCGGTGTCTTTTGTTTGTCAGCGCCAGGGAAAGAAGGAGAGGGTGTGACGCTACCATTGGCCGCTGACGCCAGCACGTGTCAACCTCTCCCTCTCGCCCCGGCGCTGGCAAACTAATGTTTTCCAGGCCATGTTTTCGTCAAAACTAAAGCCCCTTGATACTTCATTTACAAGTTACGACAGCCAATACAAATGACAAAGCACATTACGCTGGAACAAAATGGCGGCATTTTGTTCAAACCTCTGCTGTGCGCCGCCATTCGCTTCCTAAAACCTGCACCGTCGCGCAGTCGGCGCTTCAAAGAATGTCGCTACTTGTAGGAAGCTCTTATCTACATACTTCAGTCAAAACGAGTCCTTTCGTTTTTGTCAGTCACGCACACAGCTGGCGCGGAGCCAGGGAGGAGGAGGCGTTGCGCAACACCTCCCCGTAGTGCTGAATGAGATGCCGTAGTGCTGAATGAGATGGCGTCATCAGATAAGGCCAACGCTGGACACAGATTGGAAACGAGTGCTGCATCAGCGCTCGACTTCGAGTTAAGTTGGAGCCGATTGTTGACGCAATCGTCGTGTCCAATATGTGCCCAGTGTTGGCCTTCTCCGATGACGCCATCTCCTTCAGCACTCCGGTCGTGATATCTTGGAGCTGTGGCACCACGGCGCGGTGGAATGCGGGCGTGCTGAGTTGCCGCTCTGTCGTCGCCGGTTGTTCTTCGCTCTGGGTTTCCCTAGTAGCGGTGTGTGTGTAGTTAAAACGACGGATGCGGTTCCTTCCCCGACTGGTACGGAGGTAGTTCTTTCCACAAGTGATGGGGTGACCGTATCCAAGGGCGTCGACGTACTCCGAAAGGCAAAGTACAAAAAAGAGGCAAAAAAAAAATTACAGAAAGATTCACAGAGGATTTATTAAGGAACCCGTTAGCATGACTTTTGAGAAACGCCACACACCGCCCCTTTTGGGAAACTTTAACACTGACCCCGTAACGAGGCCAAAAGGGAGGCAGCAGTCAATAGAGGAAGCAAAAGAGAAAGCTAAGAGAGAAAAGTGGATGGGTCAGCACGTTTGCGTTTCCCTAAGGGGGACGTGTGTGGCGTTTCCAAGGGTCAAGCTAGCGCATTCCCTAAGAATCCAGCAGGAAATCTTCCTGTAATGGTTAAAAAGCGCAACAGGACAACGGACAGAAAGGAAGACACATACACAGCGCTGCTTACAACTGAGCTTTATTTTCGCTCTCACTCAAGATATATGCGCCGGTGTCAACAAAATCAAGTTAAGAAAAATATACAACCAACACTCCGCCCTTGTCTTCATGTAATTTTTTTTTTTTTTTGCTTGAAAAGAGTTTAGAAGAACTTGACTTGTGCCAAAACCCAAGCTTTGAAGGCTCGAAGTGACCTAATTTTGATTGCGATACGTCAATTATTAAAACTGAGCTCAAAGATACAATCGAGTGGCGGGGAGAGTAATACCCTAATTAAACTAGTGCTCTTAACCGTCATTAAGACAACGACAGTTGACTTTAGGCTGGTTCACACTGCCCCATTTTCTTAC